CTGTATGGATTCAGACCGGTGGTACTCGACGAGTCACATGGGTGGACTCGACGAGTTGCTTGAAGATGGCCTGGAACTCGACGAGTTGGAAGAACAACTCGGCGAGTAGGTTGAAGATAGCCTTGGACTCGACGAGTCCATTTGGACTCGGCGAGTCTTGTCGAGGAAGTCCCAATATTTCTGGTTGAGTCGAGAATCGGTGAGTCAAGGGATGACTCGGTGAGTTGGGTGCGAGTGGACTCAGAGTTGTTGGACTCGACGAGTCTTGGGGTGACTCGGCGAGTTGGGTCGCTGATTGAAGGAAGTTCTGAGCGTATGGACTCGGCGAGTCATCGGGTTGACTCGGCGAGTAGGGTCAGTCAGGGGTTGACTTTGACTTGTCCAAGGTTGACCAGTTGTCTTCCAGGGGTATTTTGGTAATTAAGGGTATTTATTGAGTTGTATGTTTTGATGTTCAGTGGAGGAGTTCGTGTCAGAGTTCGGAGCAGCGGGATCTTATCTTTTCAGCCGACAGTTTCGAGGTGAGTTATCCTCACTATATCAACAGGGTCTAAGGCACCAAGGCCGGCCCTTTATTGTATTGAGATTCGGTTATGGTTATTATGTTATTGTTTGATGTGTCTGCATCCTGGTAGCTAGGATGGTACATGCTAGGAGGCCTTGCTTAAGGTCAGTTTCCCGATATACAGAGTGATGCTATGCTAGTGACCGGTTAGGTCGGTAACCCGGTTAGGGTAATGATATGCTATGTGATCTGCTTGCTCGGTTTGTTGACTGTGACTGTTATATGAATGTATGTTTTGTGCACATGGTTGTTTGGACTGGAGATGGGTTGAGGCGGGTCCTGCTTTGTGCTGTAGGCCAAGATACCCAGGGCGGACCGGTTGTTCCGAAGGCCCAGCGAGCGGTCCGGATAGGCTGTAGGCCCCACGAGGGCGGACCAGACGTGCCGAGGCTCGGAGAGTGGACCAGGCCGACTGAAGGCCCGATGCGGGCGGACCAGTCACACTGTAGACTCAGAGAGTGGACCAGGTGGGTTGAAGGCCTGATGCGGGCGGACCAAACCCACTGTAGACTCGAAGGACATGACTAGACCTGGAGGATGGATCCGATGGACTGAAGGCCCGATACGGCGGACCAGTCGCACAGTAGACCTGATATGTATGGTTGTTCTATGTTCTGTTATGTTATGTATGTTTTATATGTTTTGGACCGGAAGGTCACAGCCTGGAAAGGCGTATACGTGGTTGGTATTTTGGGGGTATCTCACTAAGCTTTCGGGCTTACAGTTGTGGTTTAATGTTTTTCAGGTTCTTCAGGAGACTGTGGCAAGGCGAAGGCGCGCTCGTACCGCTCCTCATGATTTTGTAGCAATGTGATTCTGGGAATACTCTAATGATTTGTATTGAAAACCTTTTTGTAAACATTTTGATGAAAATCGGGTTGTTTTGAAAAATTTAAATTAGTTGTATTTTTCGGATGTTACAGAAGCCCTATCGAGATCTATGCTTATCGTTCCAAAGATGAATATGGTATCATGCACTCCAGCGATTCGGGCGAGTGAGGAGTTGTCAATTCCTAATAGTGCTATCCATACTGACCATTGGCTCAAAGAGTTAATGGTTAGAGATAAGGGAAGGGCCTTAGTACGATAAGTTCTCATGTTCCGTGTTGCATAGACATACATAAAGAAACATAGCAATACAGTAGCAATCATGTTTGATAATAATCAATTTAAATACAACATGCAAACAGTAGTTTTTCTGGACATGCTTTTCCACCCCAAAACATAAAACCCGAAAATAGGGGAGTACGTGAATACTCACGATGTTTCGTGTAGGCACAAGCGGTACTTCGGGATGCACAAACGTCTTACTACCGGGATCCTACGACATCAAACACACACACTAGTGAATTTCCATGTCGAAATCTAATGCTAATATAGTAAACTCTACATATAGGGAAATGCCAATTTACGTTTTAGTATTGGATTTTATATCAATTGGTTACACTTTTGCTGAAATATTGAAATTTTACAAGTCATGCGATTAACTACAACCTTGGAAGGTTAATTTTCCAAATTTTAAGTCTCTATAACAACATAAATTCACGAAAAATAGCATTCGAGGGATAAAAATTATCAAACTTTTTATTTAACTGTTATTACACAATACTAAGCTGGGAAAAATATAAAAATGGATTTCCAAGCTGTTTAATTATATTTTATGATTTATGGGCATTTATTCCAATAAAAATTGAAATAAATAGAAAACAGTTTCCAAAATTATCCAAACTTTTTATTTAATTGTTATTATATATAACTAGGCTGGGAAAAATATAAAAGATATTTTTCAGTGGGTATTTCTATTTTTCCTAGTTTTATTCCTTTAAATAGTCATAAATTAAAGAAATAATATTAAACAGCTAAAATAAATCACCATAAATTTTTGTAACATCATTTACAATATAAATAACCTGGGAAAAATATCAAAAGTGGTTTTCATAATGTATAAATTGGTTTTGGGTATTTATGTGTATTTAAGTGTATTTTAGTGCATATAACTTTAGAAAATAAGAGAAAAATAGTTTACAGTAGAGAAAAATCCTCAAAATGTTTATGTAACCTCCTACTATACAATATGATATCTTGGTAACTTTTCAAATAATTTTGGATAATCAGAACTATTTTCCCATTTTTAGACAATTATAATTACCAAAAATTGGGAAAAATAGTAAGACATGATGAAAAATCTAGAAATTATTTTCTAGAGTCATCATTCACAGGTAAGGTATGCGAAAATTGTTAGATACAATTTTCACATTCTCTAAGGTGGTTTTGTGATTTATTATGCCTAAAAAAAAGAAAATCGGAAATCGTATTAAACAGTAATACAAATTGATGAAATTTGGTGAGGGGTCATTATTCACCATAAGGATCATCCATGAATTTATTTAGGATTTATTGACCTCTGGAAGTATTTTATGTGATTTATGCCCTTGGTTTTAGCAAGAATTTTAATAAATTAAGGAAATAATAAAAGCTATTGAAATTTTCCAGATTATCTCATGCATGTGAGGGCTTTCAAAAGGAAGAATGTTAAAAATGTATTCAGAATAGAACTGAGGGTAATGAATCTAAACAAATTAAGAAAGGTTGCATGCAATGATGCATGAAATGTAGATGTGGCTGAAGTTCATGAATTTGTGTAGTCCATTCAGTGAGGTTTTAAGCCACGAAATTTCAGCCATCATTCACTAGATATGTTAAGTTTCTAAGGTATTTTTCCTCAGATTTATGGTTGGGTTTAAGGCCATTGATCATCCAAGACAAAAATAATGATCACAGAAGAAGAGCTGTATGTGCAACCATTTTGTAAAAATTGCAAAAAATCGGATATTTAATATTTTACAGTGAGACCAGTTGGGTTTGAAAGCTCACTCGTGGAAGTATCCAATAAAAAACGAATACCATGATTTGGTTAAGAAATGACCGAGTTATGGCCGCTCAAAGTTGAACAAAGTAATCTGGCAGATTGGATGTTTGTTTTTGTGCATTATTAGGGTATTTTGACAAGAACATCATGCATGCCTTTGTTAAGATCCGATTTCTAACACATGCATGGAGTGAATGAGCATCCAATATGTACTAGAAATGGTTTAAATGCTTTTGGTCATGCAAGAACACAAAAGAAATGGAGAAGAAGATGAAACATTCGGTTTTGATGTCACATGATCATATGTGCATCTTTTCACTCCTTGCATGGGTTTGATCCCGGATTTTCACCATCTCAAACACATGCATTGTGTTATGGTGAGAATCTACAAACCAAAAGGGAAGAATAAAGATTTATAGCCATGGAAAGGCATAGAATCCGAAAAGTAAAGAAAACTATGAAGAAGAAGAAGTTTAACCATGAAACTATGGGAGAAGATGTTGTTGTTTACCTTGGTTATGATCTTGAGGGAAGTAAGAACACTTCAAGGTCTTCAAAATCTCGAAATTTGGCAGAGGAATGAGAGAAATTTCGTGAGTTAGAGAGAGAGGAAGAGAGTTTGTGTGTGTTAGGAGGGTGGAGTGTGAGAGAGTGAAGAGAGAAGAGGTAGAGTGAGGGAGAAGTTCTAATGATTGAGTTTTTTGAAGAGGAGCATGGGGAGAGGGGAGATGGCCAGATTTTTGAGGCATTAAAGCCTCCTCTCTCCTCAATTCAAATTTTATAAAAAATCCCTCCTTAATTTTTATAAAAATCTAATTTTTATAAAAGTGATTCTTTAAGTAATTTTTGATTTATTTAAAAATCTTGTTTTTAACTAATAAATTATGATTAATGCATGATAATTTATATTTCTATTTCATTGGTATAATCCATAGTTTGATTAATAAAAATTTGATATTAGGAAGTTTATAGCCGAATTTTATAAAGTTTTTAACCTTTTATGATTTATAAATTTGGATTTTTGGCTCTTTAGCGTTTTTTGAATATTGTTTGATATTCATCATCATAATGAAGTATAATTAGAATATTTTAATTCATTTTTAGGGTTTTGTACCCTTTTTCAATTATAACAAAGCTTGAAGTTTCATTCTAATTATAGCATTGGCATTTCCTATTGTAGATAAGCAACTTACTAGAATCGTAAGTGTCAAGTATATTAGTCCTAGATCTTAGTTGGATCCTAATTTATGCAAGATTCTGACCTAATCTATACTACTAGGCCATGGCATGTTGTGCAAGAATGGTTTTTATAAAGATGCATGTGTCCGAGAATGACCTGAATTGACAGTTGTCACATAAGCCAACATTTTCTGATGCCTATTTAAACTTGGGAAATGTATACAAGGTGAATACTCCTTTGTTTTTCTGATAATTCTTGGTAGATATTAACACAAGGAGATTTTTTTTTCTTTCTAAAATTGTTTTTTCTTTGCATTTTATAGGCTTTAGGAATGGCTATAGAAGCTATTGTATGTTATGAGCGTGCTCTTCAGTCTAAACCAGACTATGCCAAGGCTTTTGGTTAGTACTAGTACTAGTATCATGTTTTATTTCTATCTTTTACATGAACCATGATAGAGAACGTGTCAAATATTAAGAAAGGGCAAGCATGGAGGGACCTGGTTGTAATTTCATTACTTTATGTTTCACACCTCACTCTAAAATCATCCTTTGTAAGGTTAAATAGCATGAGTCATAGTAGTAGTGGGATTATTCAGTATTTTGCATTGGTATTTTAAGTCTTCGGCATTAGCTTAGGAAGGAGGTCATCTGTTTGAGATCCTTTCTGATTTAGGTAAGGAAGAACAATCATTTGATTAACTTCTCTGAATTGTTATTATCTTATTTCCACGTGAAGTTCATAGTAATCAAGCATTCAATTTATGTTCTTCATTATTGTGTTATCGATTCCTATCAAACCAACTATTTGACTTTTACTAACCTGACTTCTACATTGTTCAGGGAATTTGACTAGCATATATTATGAACAAGGTAACTTGGAGATGGAAATTAACCATTATAAGTAGGCTATAGGTCGTGATGCTGGATTTTTGGGGGCATATAATAATCTTGTGAGTTTTTCATTCTCTTCTATAATCAATTTTTTTTGTGTTCATGCTTTTGACAATAAACTTTTCACTAGGGAAATGCACTTAAGGATGCTGGAAAGGTTGTTACTTTTGCATTTAGGTGTGCTAAAAAGAGTTGATTGATGATTGAACAAACAGGGGAATTATGTGGATGTTATTTTCTTTTTATCTTGTTTTTTAATTTTTTTTAAATCTCATTTTTACTAGATGCTTAAATGTTAAAATTGATTGGTATCTTACAGTTTGTCTTCCATACGCGGTTTCCTCATATTTTCTTTTTACCTCTCTTTGTGAATGATTACAAGCAGATAAAGGTGTAAATGAAGTTTGATTAATTTGTTTTTGTTAATGGTTGGGTGCAGAAAAACCTTGATGTGATGGATGTAAACTGCCAGCCTAAGCGTTCAGCTTACGGATTGCTTGAAAACAAGTTCATATTTTCTTGTTTTAATCAGCTTTACAAGATGGATCCTGAAATTTTTATCACTTGGTAACATTCAAGATATAATCTCAACTTTTGTTGACACACATTATATATTATAGTAACATTGACATAATGTTTGTTGTTTGTTTGTTTCAGGTGCAATATTTTAAAGCGTGTTCCCAATAGTGCCCTTTGGCTTCTTAGGTTCCCAGCTGCTAGTGAAATGAGACTTCATGCCTGTATGTCATTTTTAATCCTCTTATTATATCAAAATATACCTAGTTATAATCCTTTTTCTTACATGTTTTTGGGTATTGTGTAGATGTTGCTGCACAGGGTGTGCAACCAGACCATATTATTTTCACTGATGTTGCTATGAAGAACGAACACATCAGAATTTGTTACATAGTGCTATTATTGGTAGAGAAATGTTTCTATTTCTAGCAATGTGCCCTTAAGAATTCTTGTAAATAAACATTACATTTTTACCCTTTTAAACATCTCAAAGTTATGTGCATGGATGTCCTCTATTGGAAAGCTCAAGTGCATTTAAAACCCAAGAAGCTGCAGAAAAGAAAGCAGCTGCCCTTGGGATTTAACTTTCTTAGTGTAGATGAGGTAAAATAGTTTTTTTTTCATATTTTTCCTTCCTGCACATTTTTCCCTAATTATCAAGAAATAACTTGATGTATCATTTATACAGTTATTATTTGCACATTATTTAAATTTTTATTATTGTTATTTATAAATTAGTTAGATTTTTATTGATGTGTGTTTTCTTTTACAATTCAAGAGCTTCAGAAAACAGTAAAAGTAATTCAAGTAACAGTGAAGTTATGATCAATGGACATGATAGGAGTGCTCTACCCACTATCACACAAGCTGTTCTTGGTTCTAGGTATGTATAGGGGTAAAATAGTAATTTTCTATGTATGGAGATTTTTTTACCATTTTTTTTATTTTATAAATAGTATTATTCAAAAATCTGGATCTTGCACTAGAAGTGATGAGTGATGTTCTTGATAAAGAAGAGTAGCTTCTCACACTGCCTTTACCAAAGTGTTGGGTGGTAAGATAGATTCTTTTATTATTATTGTCATTAAATTATTATTATTGATTATTATTATTATTATTATTATTATTATTATTGTTATTATTATTATTATTATGTTTGGTGACTAATTTAATTTTAAATATTAGGTTTCAAAACTGCATGTGCTTATTGATGCGGTGACAACAAGACCAAGTTATGACAAATATTTCTATAATGATGTTGCACATAAAATATACCAGTTCTTTTTGGGTGAATTTTCTGATTGGTATGTGTTTTCGATACTAATACCGTATGTTCAATTTTTTTATTTTTTTGTATTTTTTGTATTTTTATATTGCCTTTTAGTTACTTATTGTAGAAACCAAACAAGGTGTAGTACACAAGGTACTAATACCATATGTTCTTGATTGATTGTTTTCCTTTTGTGTGAATGCAGTTAGTTTCTCCAAAATTAGTAGTGTCGCGACTTAGAGCTTGCTGTTCCTGGAACTTATTCTACCGGTATAATAATAATATTATATTATATATGTTTTGAATGATGAGTAAGATAAATTATTAATTATACATACATGTTTATCTATCTGGTTAGTCATCTTCATCTTGAAATATCTGGTTAGTCAGTCTCTGGATATGTATAGAAAGAATTTTTTTTTAAATATGTACAAGGATAAAAGTGTAATTGTTTGGTTGGTTTTCTTTTCTGATTTGAACAACCAAACACTCTCTTGTATATATATGATTCGAATTGTTTTGCATCAAAGTTATCCTTCACTTTATAATTTATATTGATTGATACAAAATCATGTATTTCAGGGTGGATTCGCGGGAAGAATCCATCAAGAGTTGTACACTATGAATATTGGGAAACAATCAATAGCACATTTCGTCTGTAAGGAGGGTTTATTTGGGATTGGGTTGACCAGGTTTGAAACTCATCTATTAAATTTTATAAAATTGTAAATGTGGTGCAAGGGTAGTTCTAAACATTTGCATCTGGTTTCAGGGGTTACTCAAGGAAAATGAAAATGGTAGCAAATACTGGGCATATGGAGGTGACTTTGGAGATACACCAAATGACTTAAATTTCTACTTAAATGGTCTCATATGGCCTGATCGGACTCCTCATCTTGCTCTAAATGGTGATTACTATATTTTGTTGCTTAGTATTTAGGTTTTTGTTTAGTTATTTCCAACAAAAATGCTTCTAGTTGTGCTTTCTATATAGAAAATGTTAACCTTGGTCTTTGTGTTTTTTGTTCATAGATTACAAACACCAATTTCTTTCAAGCAACAGAAGATCTAGAGTTTAATTGGGTGATTGAAGGTGATGGATGCAAAAGTAAACACACAGAGAGTTGTTGGGACATAGTAAGCTAGATGATGCAATTGTATATAAATGAGTTCATTTTTATTATAACATTTACTCACTTCTGTAATAATTATTTGTATGTTGACATATTAGTGAAATGAATTATCTTTGTTATTTATGATATTTTATTTTGTACTATGAGATTTTTAATGTATTATTTAATTTGAAAATTAGTAAATCTATAAATAATATTTTTTTTAAACATTTAAAATTACGATACGCAAAAATGTGTGTCATCTTCATTTATGACATGGCCTTTCTTGACATGGGCTTACTTGATACGCATTGCGTGTCATTAACACGCACGTCGTAAGGTTACAAGACGCGAATGCGTGTCGTCTTACTTTATGACAGGGCCTTCCGTGATATGCATTGCGTGTCGTAAACGCGCGTCGTAATTGCGTGTCGTAAATGAGCGTCGTAAATGCACGTCGTCTATAGATGACGCGCAAAAGCGTGTCGTCTCTCTTTATGACAGGGCCTTACTTGATGGGTATTTGCGCGTTGTCTGAGCCTCTTACGACGCGCAATGAGCATCGTAAAAGGCTGTTTTTCTAGTAGTGGTTAAAAGGATTGGAGTAGCTCATACTCAGAATACCAAAGTAATGGGACCTAAAGAACACAAACTTCATCACTAAACTAGATCTGAGCATAACTTCATAAAGTTGAAAACTTTTTACCTCCAAATGATGCCAAATGATGTTTCTATTCTGGATTCAAAGTTTCTTAGTCTTCCAAGATGATCAATCTCTTCTTCCTTTCTCCTTCAAGGTAACCAAAACACACACAAAATGCTCAAGAATTCTCTAAGATGGGTTAGGCTTTACATTAGGACGAAGGTAGGTTGGAGGCTGATGAATGAAGGCTGGTTTGGGACTTACAAACGTTTAAATAGCATCCAAACACTAAGTACTAGATTTTGGGATTGTGGAACGAATGCACAGCGTTCCTGAGGACACCCATTGTTCGCGAGCTTGCCCATTAATTACGATAATGCCATTACGGATCTGTTTGCAACCAAGTCTCATATTAAAGGTAAAAATTTAATTAATTCCCATTCTAAGGAGTTAAAATGCAAATACCTAAATATATGGATGTTAAAATTCTCACCGATATGAACATGAATTCATCCTTGAAGTTTGTTGTCGTAAACAACTCACGGTAATGCTCCCATATCTTAGTCTCAGGTTCATAGGTCCATTTGGAAGCCTTCTGATGCTGCTACTGAAACTTGACTGAAGACACAACCTTGTTGTGCAAGTACTTTGTCTTCTGATGGCCACTAGTCTCTCAACATAATTCAAGCCATCATCAGCCTTAATATCATGCAAAGGAACAACCATTGAATGATCAATGACAAACTTCCGAAGTTGTGAAACATGTAATGTGTTGTGGATCTGACTGAGCTCCTCACACAAATCTAACCGGAAAGCTACCTTGCCCACCCCTGGCCCCAACTTGCCCCTCTTCCTGAAGTGTATTACACCGTTCCAGGGTGATAGCTTCAACAAAACTATAACGCCAACCTAGATTTCCAACTCAGATCGATGCTTGCATGTGTAACTCTTCTGCCAACTCTGAGTTGTCTGTTGTCTCTGACTAATCTGCTGAATAAGCTATAACGACGAGATTTTCAAAATAAAATTTTCATTTTTCAACAACCACAATTTAAATATAAAACATTCTCAAAAAGTGTTTCACAATAGTTATTGATAAAAGATGTCCCCAAGATCATAAACCAAATCTCCTCTCGGTGTGTATGGTTCATGCCGGTGCCTTCCCACGGTCCTCGCTAGTACCTGAAACACATAACACAACAACTATAAGCATAAATTCCTAGTGAGTTCCCCAGGATACCACATACAACACATACGCCACTCAAGGCTACTGTACGACCCTCCGACCGATGTGTCTCAGCGGGACCCTCCAGTCCCGTAGCTCGTTGGACCCTCTGGTCCGGTCATAGCTCATTGGGCCATCCGGCCTGGTCTATGTCATTGGACCCTCCGGTCCGGTCTGTACAATTATATATTAAACATACATCACATAGCACATAATCTCATACATGGCACACAATCTCATACATAGCAGATAAGACCTTCCAGACAACTCATAGTACCACTCTAGGTAATGTATAGTGAGAAGACTCACCTCGGATGTCTCAGTAATATCTTGCTCGCATGACACTGATCTAGCCTCTACCTAAACACATAAACGATCATCTCAATTAATAACGACTCTCCAGGCTAGAGTAAATCCTCACACATCCTCTAAGAAGGCTAAAAGGCCATTTTACCCTTCAAACAGTTCACAAGTCCAATTGTTGACCAAACCCTAAAAGTCAACAAAAGTCAACGGTCAACCCTTTCACCAGACGTGCCATGTGCATAATTGTGACTCGCCGAGTTCAGTCATGAACTCGAGTCCTCAAAATCCCCAATGACTCACCGAATCACTTTCGCAACGCAACGAGTCATCAACTGTGTGATTCATGGGGACAACTATCCTACTCGCTGAGTCTGTTATTGGACTCGGCGAGTTCATGCCATGCTAAAACTCAAATGACCTCTTGAGGTCAGATCTGTTCCTCCAGTCCATAGATCTGTCCTTACCAACAACTATAATCACGTAAAGGTCCGACCTTTACACTCATGCAATGACCAAAACGCTTCTTTGGGTGAAATAACCCCTAAAATGGCAACCTAAGGCCATATCTCTAATGGAGTAGCAAAAAACAATGTGAATGGGACTCTCTGGACCTCTTAAGGTCCATGTATAAGAAGAACTCCACCTTGGGACCTCCCATACTTCGAATCCAATCCAAAGAATGAACAAGGAAATGCTAGATTCAACTAGAACACCAAATACACGAGTTTGAGCACAAATTAGTACCTCTAGTAGCCTCTTCTGATGAATGGATGATAGATCCGAGCTCCTTAACCTTCCTTGTTTGTACTCCTTCCTTCTTTCTTGCAAAATCACACTTAGAATAATGAAATAGCCCTCCTCTTTCACTACAAGCCTTCTCTATGCTCTCAAGGTTCTCAGGGGTTTGATAGCAGCAAATGGTGGCTAAAAGGTCCTTATATAGGGCTCAGTCCCCGGAGTATTAGGGTTTCAGTAAACAACATGGACTCGCTGATTCCACGTATGGACTCGCCGACTCCGCCATTTAATCAGTCCGACCATGCGCGATCCTTCTCAGCGAGTCCCTCTCCAAAACTCAACGTAAAAGCACAAATAAGATACATGAGAGTCCGGATTTTAAAATTCTCCCCCAATAGAATTAGACTTCATCCTCAAAGTCTCATTCCGCAAACAACTCTGGATGCTACTCACGCATCTCGCGCTCCGGTTCCCAAGTCGACTCGGACCCCCTCCGATGTTGCCACTGGACCTGCACCAGGGGCACTTCCTTGTTCCTTAAAACCTTAACCTTCCTTTCCATAATCGCAACCGGTCTCTCAACGTAGTTCAGACTCGCATCCACCTAGATATCCTTTAATGGTACCACCACCGACTCATCGGCCACACAGTTCCTCAACTGCGGTACGTGGAAGGTGTCATGAATATGACCTAACTTCGCAGGTAACTCCAAACGGTATGCTACTCTGCCGACCCTTGCGATCACCCTAAACGGCCCAATATACTGGGGCCCCAGCTTGCCCCTCTTCCTGAAACGGATCACTCCTTTCCAAGGAGACACTTTCAGGAGCACAAAATCACCGACCTGAAACTCGAGCTCCGACCGACGCCTATCCGCGTAACTCTTCTGGAGACGCTGAGCAGTCAATAACCTCTATCTATCCTGTTGTATCTGCTCTATCTTCTAAAGAAGTATCTCTGTACTACCCATCACACATTGCCCTACCTTACCGCAGCAAACGGGCGTCCGACACCTCCTTCCATACAACAAATCAAAGGGTGGCATTCCATTGCTCGAATGATGGTGGTTGTTACAAGAAAACTTAGCCAAGGGAAAATACGTGTCCCAACTCCCGCCGAAATCCACCACACATGCCCGAAGCATGTCCTCGAGCATCTGAATCGTCTGCTCGCTTTGTTCGTCAGTCTGTGGTTGGTATGCGGTACTAAAATGCAGCCTCATACTGAATTCCTCATGAAATTTCTTCCAGAATCTGGAAGTGAAACGCACATATCGATTCAAGATGATCGAAATTGGTACTCCATGTCGGGATACCACCTCCCTAACGTACAACTCTGTCGGCCTCTCCGCGGAAGAGCTGTCAGTGATGGTAAGGAAGTGAGCGTTCTTCGTCAACCTATTCACAATCACCCAAATTGCATCGACACACCTAGCAGTCATCGACAATAAGGTGATAAAATCCATGGAAATCTGTTCCCACTTCCACTCGGGAATCTCTAATGGCTGTAACTTACCATGCAGACGCTGGTGTATGGCCTTAACCTTGTGACAGGTCAAGCACCTCTCAACGAACCATGCGACATACCTTTACATACAGGGCCACCAAATACATCTTAGTGGCCCCGGGGTGGATCGAGAACTTCGATCTATGTGCCTCCTGCATCATGACGGTACATGTTCCTCCCACAAACGGTACCCAAACCCGACCCTGAAAGGTCATAAGTCCTCGACTATCGGTAACAAACTCCGATACCTACACGATCACTCAGTCCCTCTTGTGGTTCTACAGCCTCCGCCTGGGTCCCCGTCTCAACATGCTCAAGTAG